TTTTTTTTTGCTGCTGTGCCGATCTTTTCCTTCCACTCGACACCATGGTAGAAGTTGAGTATCCTGTATACTTATCTCCAGCAAGTTCTCCCAACAGGGATGGGACATAAGTGTCCAACGGACACCAGTTTATTCAAATTGCTAGCACGCACTAGTGGGAAAAGGGCAGCCTACAACTGGAGCCTACAAGGAGGAATGTCATTCCATTCTCCATTTTATTGCAAACTTGTAACTACTGTTGGAGGTTTGAAATACAAGCACAGTTTTGTTCTGAAGCGGATGGAATCTACAATGAGAGACATGGGTGAGCAGTGCAGCCGTTACAGTTCTTGCAGTGTTAACTCATTCCGCAAATTTCGTTTCCATCTCATTGTAGTGTTTTACCTGTTTTGTGGAGTTTGTCACTCAGTGAAATGAGAGTGGTCATCCATTGAGGTCAAATTTCGATGTATAGTCACGAGCTGAAGTTTTTGTCTAGTCATCGTCCACCAAATGAGCACAGCACTCATGGTTACACCTCATCGAATGTCCATGCTTTGCCATCGTGCAGGGAAGAAATCAGGGTTCTGTGGGTGATGTCACATATCTCAGTTCCCTCTTCATCCTGAATGTCACTCCATCTCAGGAAAGCTTCCCATCTCAGACGTTATGTTGCACTACTGTTTCCAATACACCATGTGGTTATCATCTGGTTTCACTTTTTCCATCCTCTCCAATTTATATTCTATGGGTGCTTCTTTCCCTGCCCTATGAAACAGCTTGCTAAGACCTTGTGACTCGTTGCTGCTGTCTAGTCGATGAAAATGTTAACATTTGGACTTCCAAACTATAAGGACATGATAGATTCTGTCCTAACAGAGTGCACAACATAACTGTCTGCTCTGTTCACAGTAATAATCAGTGTGATGTTCACTATACAGTGTTTTTCAGTTGCATCAGACATTCTTTGCTCCAGACTTTGGCACTCGTGCATGAGGAACGTCGCATGCACAGGGATCGAAATCACATGAAAAATTGACTACCGTATCTCCGTAAAATACCGTATCTCACTGGTGCAAACCCGCTATGGGTGAGATGCTGGGCCTGGGCGAACCAGGATTTTTTTCAATCAGAATCTATTGCCCTCAATATTTTGCTATCAGCGACTTGATTGTCATCCTCTAAGAAACTCCAAATATGCAAATTAGAAAGACCACAATGGTTCAGAGTTTGAGACACTAAATCCATTTTTTAATGGACAGGATTTGACACTGATGAATTAGGCCTGGATTAGGAACTTGAATAATCTGAAATTCCGGCTGGAGATATATGAATACAAATCAAAGTTAAAAAAAAGGTGAGGTTTCTGGTTGTTTTTTCCCTTCAGGGTGAAGATGTGAATTTGATTTTGAAAGTGTTGCGATCAATAAAGATTTCTCTTGTGGTTTATGATATAGTTCTTGATGACTGAGTGCCTAAGCTTTTCCAGCCAATAACATCATAATCCTATCTTTGTGACTTTTTTCATTCGATTGAAAAAAAATTATCTCCATGTAATCTCTGAGAAGAGGTGGAAGCCAGTAGGGTAACTTGGGGAAGTATGGCCATTGGGTTAATATGGCCCTTCACAAGGAATCCCCTTATAGACTGAATAATTAGTTTGGGCGAATTTAAAAAATATTTAACAAAAATTAAAAAAAAAGGGGAAATATGGCCATCTCGATTTGGTGTATTATGGACACATCCTTCATTTTATGTTAGCACTGCACAGACCTGTGGATAGTGTCAGCTTCCTTTCATGTGGGATCTCAGTCTGCAAGAGATCTGTTACTCAGAAGGCTGGGTAGATACCAGTGCCAAGTGCTAGTAGAAGTTTCTATATATCTAGTACCTTACTCTACAGGGTGTTCCATATGTCACTATAACAAAAAATCATATTTGCTAAACAGTTGATGCATAAAAGAAAAAGTTAACTGAACAATAGCATGTCACCTTTGTTAATAATAAAAATGGAGGTATTTCTAAGTTTTGAAAGAGAATCAAAATGTCCACCACCTCCATTAATGCATTTGTCATGAGGCTCATCACAAAAAATTGCTGAATCTCCATTTGAACTCTGATGGTACTCTGAAAGACCTCCATCCAGGTTGCCTCTTCTTGACTTATGGGACACCCAGTATTTTGGTGTTTCATCAGGAAAGGTCAACTCCCTGGGGCGTCAAAGGTGAGACTGTCAAACCATGCCACTCGTGGTAATGCCGAAGCTGGTTACCTCTTGTGCAAACTTGGGAATATTTGGCATTTTAGTGACTGGTTGTTCGACTGATGATAATTTAACGATTATTTTATGTATAATCTTTTTTTTTATGCCTAATTTTTCCATGAGTATGAGCCAGAAGTCGAGGAGGCCAAACCACATTGTTTGGAGATCATTATTTATATTTCCTCGGAGAATGTATGGCTAATATTTCTGCATCCTTGTGTTCTAGCAGAGAACTGGGCATACTGAAGCCAAAGGAGTGAGGAAGCCCTAACTATTAATGCTACTGGCTGCATCATCAGTGGGAACTTGATGAATGACTGCCATCCCAGGGTCCCAACACTCCTTGTGGATACCTTCACGTGGATCGTTCACTTTATTTTGAGGCTTCCACCTCCATACTGCTTAACCCTTTCATGCACAATTGAGTATAACTGAATTCTGGCTTCATTTTTTCGTTTGTTCTGTTTGACAACTTAAATACCCCATTTTACATGAACAAAATAAACATTTTATTTTTCAAAGTCACAGAACTCATAAAAATTCCATCTTCTATGATGGACACCATGCTCTTCAGCTAACAATGACATTTACAGATCTTCTGGGAAACCCAATACATGCCCAATTCTTTTGCAGTTTCATGTCTTTGATTTCTGAGTATGGAAACAGTCCATATAAATAGGACACTGGCTCTTTGCATGTCTTGCACCTACCTTTCCCTACATACCTTTCCTGAGAAACGAATAGTGTATGGAATTTGCCAGGGAATGCTGTCCACTGGAGTGGACAGTAACATATTAACCTTTAAATTCACAATAACATGCTGGAAACTTAATCTAAGTGGACTTTCTCGCTTCTAGTACTTATCAACTGAAAAATATTCACTTACTGGCTTCAAATTAAGTGAAAGATTTTTTGGGGATTTTTTTTTTGCTGCTGTGCCGAAGAAAAGGAAGGTGAGCTGTGGTACCATCTTCAACTCATAGGACATATGAATAGAGGTCGTTCAAGAGGGTTGTCCCTACCCTATATTCACAGGTTGCCTGTGGTCAAATAAGTTTAACGATCGTGCTACTAGTGGGAAAAGGGCAGCCTACAACTGGAGCCTACAAGGAGGAATGTCGTTCCATTCTCCATTTTATTGCAAACTTGTAACTACTGTTGGAGGTTTGAAATACAAGCACAGTTTTGCTCTGAAGCGGATGGAATCTACAATGAGAGACATGGGCGAGCAGTGCAGCCGTTACAGTTCTTGCAGCGTTAACTCATTCCGCAAATTTCATTTCCATCTCGTAGTGTTTTACCTGTTTTGTGGAGTTTGTCACTCATTGAAATGAGAGTGGTCATCCATTGAGGTCAAATTTCGATGCATAGTCATGAGCTGAAGTTTTTGTCTAGTCATCGTCCACCAAATGAGCAGAGCACTCATGGTTACATTTCATCGAATGTCCATGCTTTGCCATCGTGCAGGGAAGAAATCAGGGTTCTGTGGGTGATGTCACATATCTCAGTTCCCTCTTCATCCTGAATATGTTACTCCATCTCAGGAAAGCTTCCCATCTCAGACGTTATGTTGCACTACTGTTTCCAATACACCACCACCAATAGTAGACCAAAGTGAAAAAGGTAGGAGAGGTTAAATATAAGATACCCACGAAGAAAGGGACGGGATACTTTGTCGAACGATTCTGGAACACTGAGCAACGACGACAGATCAGCTACTTTTTGTTAACATTTGGACTTCCAAACTATAAGGACATGATAGATTCTGTCCTAACAGAGTGCACAACATAACTGTCTGCTCTGTTCACAGTAATAATCAGTGTGATGTTCACTATACAGTGTTTTTCAGTTGCATCAGACATTCTTTGCTCCAGACTTTGGCACTCGTGCATGAGGAACGTCGCATGCACATGGATCCAAATCACATGAAAAATTGACTACCGTATCTCCGTAAAATACCGTATCTCACTGGTGCAAACCCGCTATGGGTGAGATGCTGGGCCTGGGCCAACCAGGATTTTTTTCAATCAGAATCTATTGCCCTCAGTATTTTGCTATCAGCGACTTGATTGTCATCCTCTAAGAAACTCCAAATATACAAATTAGAAAGACCACAATGGTTCAGAGTTTGCGACACTAAATCCATTTTTTAATGGACAGGATTAGACACTGACGAATTAGGCCTGGATTAGGAACTTGAATAATCTGAAATTCCGGCTGGAGATATACGAATACAAATCAAAGTTAAAAAAAAGGTGAGGTTTCTGGTTGTTTTTTCCTTTCAGGGTGAAGATGTGAATTTGATTTTGAAAGTGTTTCGATCAATAAAGATTTCTCTTGTGGTTTATGATATAGTTCTTGATGACTGAGTGCCTAAGCTTTTCCAGCCAATAACATCATAGTCCTATCTTTGTGACTTTTTTCATTCGATTGAAAAAAAATTATCTCCATGTAATCTCTGAGAAGAGGTGGAAGCCAGTATGGTAACTTGGGGAAGTATGGCCATTGGGTTAATATGGCCCTTCACAACGAATCCCCTTATAGACTGAATAATTAGTTTGGGCGAATTTAAAAAATATTTTTAAAAAATTAAAAAAGGGGAAATATGGCCATCTCGATTTGGTGTATTATGGACACATCCTTCATTTTATGTTAGCACTGCACAGACCTGTGGATAGTGTCAGCTTCCTTTCATGTGGGATCTCAGTCTGCAAGAGANGATCAGCATTGCCATTCTGCAGCATGACAACACGAGGCCTTGCACAGCTGCACAACACAGCTAAGTGTGAGGCTGGGCCTTGTCATTCTGCAGCATGACAATGCCCAGGCCTCTGACAAAAAAAATGCTCAGAGAAAACTTGAAACACCCATTGGGAGTAAATTAGAATTACTATGAGATTGAAGCCCCCTCCCCCTCCTGTCACCTTCACCTGATCCTACTTCCTTGCCATCTGCCCTTCCAGCCTACAGCAGCATAATGCAGAGGTAAAATGTGAATCACAGCTACACACACCCAATGTGGAGCCAACACCTTAACTCAGCAACCTCTCTCACAACTCTGCTAGAAGTACTTTTACATATCCCCTGTCATGATTAAAACCTCCTCTGAACACTGACCATTGCTCTATGAAGCCACAGTAACAGAGTAAAATCCTGCTGACAATAGACCCCTCAGACTTCTCTCATTAGCAGTCATTAATGACCCAGTCTTTCACTAATTTCATACTTGTCCAGAATTACATAACCCTCTCATCTGGCAAGCACATGGAGAGTATCAAATCAACCTTGATTCTACTGATTACACACATGCTGCACTGTCATCAAGCTAACCCACCACCTTCTGTCCATTCAATACCACAATGACAGTGTAAAACCTCTAAGCAGTGATCCATATTATATACAGATGAAACTATCCACTTCACAAAAACCATAAAAAACTCAACCAACACTCAGTGACAGCTACTAAGAAATTGATGCTGAATTGAGAAACCAATTCTTGTGTTGCTCTAGAATCTGCTATAGTGGCATCTGAGAAGCAAAAAGCTTAATGCTTGGTAAGTTAGTGGAATTTCAATTTGAAACTTACGTCCAGCGCAAACTGANGAAAGGGTTAAGCAGTATGGAGGTGGAAGCCTCAAAATAAAGTGAACGATCCACGTGAAGGAATCCACAAGGAGTGTTGGGACCCTGGGATGGCAGTCATTCATCAAGTTCCCACTGATGATGCAGCCAGTAGCATTAATAGTTAGGGCTTCCTCACTCCTTTGGCTTCAGTATGCCCAGTTCTCTGCTAGAACACAAGGATGCAGAAATATTAGCCATACATTCTCAGAGGAAATATAAATAACGATCTCCAAACAATGTGGTTTGGCCTCCTCGACTTCTGGCTCATACTCATGGAAAAATTAGGCATAAAAAAAAAGATTATACATAAAATAATTGTTAAATTATCATCAGTCGAACAACCAGTCACTAAAATGCCAAATATTCCCAAGCATGCACAAGAGGTAACCAGCTTCGGCATTACCACGAGTGGCATGGTTTGACAGTCTCACCTTTGACGCCCCAGGGAGTTGACCTTTCCTGATGAAACACCAAAATACTGGGTGTCCCATAAGTCAAGAAGAGGCAACCTGGATGGAGGTCTTTCAGAGTACCATCAGAGTTCAAATGGAGATTCAGCAATTTTTTGTGATGAGCCTCATGACAAATGCATTAATGGAGGTGGTGGACATTTTGATTCTCTTTCAAAACTTAGAAATACCTCCATTTTTATTATTAACAAAGGTGACATGCTATTGTTCAGTTAACTTTTTCTTTTATGCATCAACTGTTTAACAAATGTGATTTTTTGTTATAGTGACATATGGAACACCCTGTAGAGTAAGGTACTAGATATATAGAAACTTCTACTAGCACTTGGCACTGGTATCTACCCAGCCTTCTGAGTAACAGTGATAATCACCAGGTTATGGTTCCTCTGTGTCACAAAGGTTAACAGCTCCTGCAAAAGGAAAGCAGAAGTAGCAAGAAAGCACAATTTCAACTATATGAGTCAGGCATTTACAAGCAATGAGTTAGTAGGTTAAGAGGCTGTACTGTTAGCATCAAACAAATGGAACATTATGGACAGCATTTAATACCACAATAATCACCAACACAACAGCACTATCAACCATAAAAATAATGCAAAAAATTGAAGTAGAATAAGTACTTTAATTTTAAGTATTTACTCAGGTGTCCTTGAATGAAGGTGCAAATATTTTTGCTAAAATTTGCTATAGGGTATTTATTTAATCTTTAATACTATATCTCCTGTCATGAATTCTGCTCAAATCTTCAATCAAAGCTATTTATTTATTCATTTTATTCAAAGCTATCATTTTTTTCACATAATTCAAGTTGAATGACATTGCAGAAACATCGCAAAGACATCACTTAGATGTGTTGCTGTATTTTGG